ATAGAATGAGTTTGGGAGTATTCCCTCCTTTTCAGTCTTCTGGAAGAGTTTGAGAAGAACTGATATGAGTTCTTCTTCGTATGTTTGGTAGAATTCCTCAGCGAAGCCGTCCGGTCCTGGACTTTTATTTGTAGGGTTTTTTTTTTTTTTATTGCTAATTCAGTTTCGTTTCTAATGATCGGTTTGTTCAAGTGGTTAGTTTCTTCTTGGTTCAGTCTTGGTGGACTTTTATGTTTCCATAATCTTGTCCGTCTCCTCTAGGGTATCCATTTTGGTTCCATATAGTTTTTCATAATATTCTTGTATGATCGAATGCAGTGCTTTTCTTTTGAACTTTTCAGCCACCATTTTGTAAGAAGTTCAGTGCATCCTATGCTTATACATTTATGTAAAAGCTGTGACGTGCTGCCCTCTGACTGATGAGAAGCAACGTGGTCGTGGGACCTGCATGTATTTGCTGTGTCAAGAATGCATTCTAACAAACTGCCTCGGGGTCAATCAGATTCCCTCTGTCTTACATTGTACAACATGCTGTTCTTGGAACCCAAACAACATACTTGGCACAAGGGTATAAAAACAGCAGTCACAAAATGAACGAAAAATGTTCTAAGGATTTCATATTTTAATGCAAGAATTTATCCCCCCAAATTATATCATCACATGAGTCAATTTTCCTCCCTAAAGTTGCACAAATGAACCACTCACAACTTACTAAGATGAAAACAAAAAGAAATCAAAAGCCTAGGTAGTTTTATATCTATGTATTTATTATTTATTTATTTTTCTTTAACATTTTTTATTGATTTATAATCATTTTACAATGTTGTGTCAAATTCCAGTGTAGAGCACAATTTTTCAGTTATACCTGAACATATATATATATTCATGTCACTTTTTTTTCTCTGAGCTACCATAAGATCTTGTGTAATTTCCCTGTGCTATACAGTATAATCTTATTTATCTATTCTACAATTTTGAAATTGTAGTTGTATATCTATTTAAAAAATTTAAATTTGTAATTAAAAACTTTCTCACATAGAGCCATTAGACCCAGATGGCTTCACTAGTGAATTCTTACCAAATTTAAAGAAAAATTCATACCACTCTTCTAGAGACTAGAAAAAGAGTGAACACATCCCAAGTGTTGGGAAATAGTTCTAAGTGCCCCTAATAGCTAGTTCCAAGCGTTTGAGAGCTCCAGGAATTCTTATGATGTGCTGGCGTGAGTGTAAATTGATGAGAACCACTTGGTGAAATAGTTTGGCTGTCTATTAAATGTGAACAGGTGCATAAGCCACGACTCAACGATTCCATTCCCATTTATATACCCTTCATAAATGGGTATATAAGTGCATCAAAAGATTTGTAAGGAGTGTTCATTGCAGCATTATTTATAATAGCCTCAATCTGGAAATAGCCCTGATGATCAGTGAAAGATGGCTTCGTAAATTGCGGTGTATTCATACATTGAAATACTATACAGCAGCGGCAGAGAAACAGCTACCGCTGTACCTAACAGCTTGGATAAACATCAGAAAGAAAATGTTGAGTGAAAGAAGCCAGTGAAGTAGTTTATGATCCTATTTATATAAAACCCAAACATCAGCACCATTTATCTAAGTGATACATTTCAGAGGAGCAGTTCATCTGTGAGAGGAAACTGCAGAGCTTCCTGGGTTCTGTTTCTTGATCTGGGTGCTGGTTGCGCTGATACGTTCATATCATAAACATTTGTCAAGCTCTAAATTTATGATACGTACTTTTTATGCACATTATTCAATTGTATATGTGTTATTATTTAATTTAAAAAGTAAATCACTCAGAAGAAAGATTAGGGGTTAAACAACTTTAAGGGAGGCACTGATAAGTGGAAACTGAAATCTTACATTTATGCGTTCTTAAGAGATTCAAGATGAAATTGTAAATGAAGTGAAATTCACCTGATCTCTTGCCATTTTGATCTGCATGGTCGATTTATGTATCAATGACTCAAAAAAGAAGCTCCTTTTTCCTTCAAAGAAAGGAAAAAAAAATTCCTTTACCTCTGGGAGGTTCATAAAAGAGTGTTAATAACCTACTCATTATCTATTTCATTTTTAAAAGTTGGCATCCATTTAATAAAATGAATTTGTGGTGTGCAAAGGGAATTTATCTATGAGATGCTTATAAAACTTAATTGCAGTGGCATAGTCTCACCCTGATAGACTTGTTTTCATTGGCTATTAGAGATTACAAGGGCCTTAGATGACTAAATATTCTATTTTTTATTGATAGTATGACTCAGCGGCCTGCTTTGATACTGTCATGGTGAACTGACAGGCTCCGTTTACTTTTTAGGTGCAGGTGTTTGGACTGTATTCTGGAGAAGAATTTCACGAGACTTTTGACTGTCCCATTAAAGTAAGTATTCAGTAAGTTTTGATTTTTCTAAGGATTTTCTCAACAAAGGCAATATGAATCAGAATACTTTGAACACTACCAGTCTTGCGTAAATTACCAATGATGAAATTACATCAGTAAGCATCTATTCAACCCTTACAATGTACCAGGTGCTGTTTGATGCTGTGAAGGAGGACAGAATGTATGTTTTGTGACTGACCTCAGCCCGTCCAAAGGATGGATCTTTTGTTGTAGTGGGTGAGGTGATACATACACACACACACATGCGTGCATGCACACAATCTGTGATTAAAGATCCAAAGAGGTAAAAAAGAAAAATATTAAGGAGTCTAAAGCTGAGAGAAGTTACTTCCAGCTGTTCTTGTAGTGATGGCTTCATAGATGGAGTGATGTGTGATTGGACTTCAATAAATGGACAGGGCAGCCGGAGAAAGCTGACTTTCCATGTGGAAGAACAGTGTAATATAAGCAGAGAGGGTAGAAAGTTCAGACTGTGTTCAGAAAGTGGCAAATGGTCTAGTTTAGATGGTGCATGAAATACTGACTTGGCAGGAGAGCGGTACAGGCAGACTGAGACTGGCTTTATATTCAGGCTAAGGAACTTGGACTCTGTTTGGTAGATAAGGAGAAATTATTGACTGTTTAAGAGCAAAGAAGTGGCATAAACTGAGCTAAGCTTAAGGAAAATTAACGTGGCAACTCTGCACAGTACAGATTGGAAGGCTGATAGACACGAGGCAGGAGGACCAGTTTTAGGTGACAGTAACGGTAGTTACAGTGGCTGTTAGAGTCGTTAAAGGAAGAGGTTGTTCTTTTTTTTTCCCCCCACGTGTTTATTCAAGCATTTATTGATCAACAGGTAAAGGAGAGACAGGATCTAATGTGTGTTTTCCAAACCCAACCTTGCCAGAATGGAGGGGGATTTAAGCAGGAGAGTGACTGGGGACGGGAGACAGTTTAGAAGGCTAATCAGTGGTCTAGGCAGAGCGTCGTCACAGGAGCGCAATAAAATAAAAGGGCCGTAGTGAGGATTCAGGAGGGAGTAGAAGAAATGAATTGGAAAAGCCTCTAGAAGGTTGGCTTAATAAGCCTCCGTGATGGATTGGCTGCAGGGGGAGGAAGGTAGAGGAGCTGATGGTAAATCCAGGTTCTTGCTTTGGCAGTGGTGTGTGGGGATGCCACCAACTGCAACGAGGGATGGTTTGAGTGAGGACGTTGGTGTAAATGTCATGGAGGCTTTTGTCTGAGTGAATGTGGAGCTCAGAATGGAGACTGGCCCTAAAAACACAAGCCTGATAACCACAGTTGAGTAAGGCATCCGGACAAGGAGATAGTCGGGTTCTTTCTCAGGGTTTCTTCTGCGAAATGTATTCAGCTACAAACATTTGGGACATCTTGCTGCCTTGATTGAACTCACTTGCTGTCTCTAAAGAGAAGTGCCCACTCAGAGGGTCCCCCTCAGTCAGAAATTAGAACTGTCCACACTCATGTTTTAGCCTTGCCCTGGCTTCGTAGAAGAAATCTTTTCACACCAGAGCAAAAGTCATCCTCAGTTGGTGCAAAATATTACCTGAAATACATTACTTCCTACCAAGATACTAATTTTTAGATGACACTGCCTGACGCATACAAAGGGCTTTCATTTTGTGCTGTAGCAGTGACCCCGAAACCAAGTCCTGTCCTTGTCCCCTTGCAGATCATCGCTGTACATCCGCATTTCTTGAGATCCAGCTGCAAGCAGTTTGTGACCGGAGGGAAGAAGGTAAGGGCTGTGTGTCTGCTGGCATTGCTGGTCTTGGAGGGGGTTCAGTTTGCTCTTTAATTTACCTTTAATATTCTTAATCTCTGACTATTTATTAGGAGAAAATTTGAGAAAGCCAAATGTCACAATGTAGTGAAATTGTAAGACCATCATCTTTTGGGGAAGATGTGGCCTCAGTGCTTCTCCCTGCCATTCCTTTAGAATAGACGTAGGGCAGGAGAAACAGAGATGTGACCCAAACTGTCACCTAGCGCTTGGAAATGCTGCCCCTGCCGCAAAAAAAAGAGGTAGTACTTAAAAATAACAAAAGAGTGATTAAGCTAACATTTTTTTTTCCCTTTGTAGAAAATCTCTTGCAGGCCTTGATAAAGTTTTAGAATAATTATGGCTTTTTTTTTTAACTGACATGTTCCCATCATATTTTATTATCTTACTGCTGTTTAAAAAATAGAAGGTAAAATAATCCTTTTGTACATTGACATGTTTGGAGATACGATAAATTCTTTTTTTGTTTGTTTGTTTGTTCTTTGCTTTTGTTAATGAAGCTACTGGGGATTGAACCCACGACCTCGTGCGTGCTAAGCACATGCTCTTATCACTGACCTACACCACCACACACCATTCCCCCCAAGTAAATTCCAAAAGGAAAGAATCTTTCCTTTTACAGAATGAGTTAATTTTTTTCTATTTTTATTAACCAGTGTTTGTTTTGTTTTTCTTCCTTTTAAATCTGTCTATCATCCATCCATCCATCCTTCCATCCTTTTAACCAGTGATTTTTTAAAACCATTTTTACAACTAAACACCTCACTGTACTGGAACTCTGAAGTTATTTCTCATTCAGTTTGGGGCTCAGTGAGCAGGAGGCTGTAGCTATGGTTACTTCTATAGCCGGGCATTGCTGGGGAGTGGCTACTTTGAGGCCCAGCTACCAAATAGTTTCGAATGTTTTGTTGTAGCTCTGTGTCCTCTCCCCTTGGTCTGCTGCTTCTGAGAGTGATAGAGCAGGAGAGCGCACTGGACATTACCTCACCCAGCGTTTTTCAAGCACTGGTTTCAGCTCGTGTATTGGTTGACTGGCAGGTCCTGTAGATCCCAATTCCACGCCACAGCACGAAGCCAAGGCTGCCCCAGCTCTGGTTTCTGGTTGAGGGCCAGCTCCTTCCCGCCCTCCCTACAGCTCACTGTTATCCTTACAGTCTAGCGTCATTAGCCTCACGTACACGTCTATGGGATTAATGTGTGCGAATTATGGCTTCAAAGTAACATTCTCTATCTTAGACCTGCGGCCGATTCACTCCTGAAAAAAAATAGCTACTTTATTGTATTTGTCTTCAGGAAAGAGTAGCTTTAATATTCCTCTTGTTAAACTATTTCTGTACTAAACAGTTTTCTAGTTAGGAAATTTTATGTGAGCTATAAAATAAGTTTACTTAGCGTAATTTAAATCCATGCATTTTTATGTAAAACTCAGTGGGGATATATTAGAATGCTGTCACTTTCTGTTTGTTTTTTAAGTAGCCTGAAACGGTGAACTTTATTTACCTAACAGTTCAAGAAGTTAGAGAGTGGCTTTCCTGTATGAGTCTGACTCAGGGTCTCTCATGAGACTTCAGTCTAGATTGTGATCAGGACTGCACTCATCTGAAGGCTGGGCTGGGGTGGAGAATCTGATTCGTAGAAGTCTGCTGCCTTCTTAATACGAATTCGTCATAAAATCTCAATAGTTTAAAATGTTGATAAATCACTTTTGGTTAGAGCATTTTCATCATCTCAGTAATGAAACCCAGTCACTCCCCTCTCCCCCTTCCCCTGCTTGCCAGCTCTAAGTAACCACTAATATGTTTCATTTCTCTGTAAATTTGCCTCTTCTGGCTGCTACTTATACATTCTGGGTATTTCATAGAAATAGAATCATACAATAAGTGCATGGCCTTTGTGTCTGGTTTCTTTCAGGAGTTTTCTGGATCCATCCGTGTTGTAGCATGCATCAGACCTTCATTCCTTCTTACGGCCAAAGTCTTTTTCATTGTATGGATGTATCATCTTTTACTTAGCCATTTATTAGCTGATGGGCATTTGGGTTGTTTCCACTTTTGGTATTATGCATAATGCTGCCGTGAACATTCATGTATAACTGTCCAGCTGTGAACGTTCATTCCTCTTGGGTGCAGAACTGTTGGATCATACAGTAACTGTGTTGAACACCTTGAAGAACTGTCAAACTGTTTTCCAAAGTGAATGCACCATTTTGCATTCTCACTAGCAATATGTGAGAGTTTGACACTCTGTGCATTCTACCAAACACTCATTTTTGTCTGTCTTTTGATTACAGCCACCTGCTGAGTGGGAAGTGGCATCTCGTTGTTTTGATTTGCATTTCCCTAATGACTAAAGATGTTGAACATTTTTTCATGTGCTTATTGGCCATTTGCCTATCTTTGGAGAAATGTCTATTCAGACTCTTGGCCCCTTGTTTGATGGGGCTGTTTGTCTTTTTATTACACAGTTGTAAAATTGTTTTATATACTCTGGTCTCTTATCAACTTGTGATTTGCAAATATTTTCTCCCAGCCTGTGACTTGACTTTTCGCTTTATTGATGGTGTCATTTGAAGTACAAAAGTTTTTAATTTTGGTGAAGTGCCATTTTTTTCTTTTTTTTTTTTTTTGACACTTATGCTTTTGGCATTGTATCTATAAATCATTTCCAAATCCAAGGTCTTGAAGATTTATGCCTGTGTTTTCTTCTGAGAGTTTTATAATTTTAACTCTTAAATTTAGCTCTAAAATCTACTTCAAGTTTGTGTATGGTGTAAGGTAGGGGTCTAAATTCATTCTTTCACATATGAATATCCAGTTGTTCCCGCACCATTTGATGAAGAGTCTGTTCCTGTGCCATTGTCTTGGCCCCTTTGTCAAAAATCAGTTAACCATATGCAGCCACTATAAAAACTGAAAATAGAGTTGCCATATGATCCAGCAATCCCACTCCTGCGCATATATCCAAAGAAAACTCTAATTCAAAAAGATACGCACACCCCAATGTTCACAGCAGCAGTATTTCCAATAGCCAGGACATGGAAACAACCTAAATGTCCATCAATAGATGACTGGATAAAGAGGTGGTAGTATATTTATATGATGGAATACTACTCAGCCATAAAAAAGAATAAAATAATGCCATTTGCAGGAACATAGATGGACCTAGAGATTGTCATACTAAGTGAAGTAAATCAGACAAAGACAAATAACATATTATATCATTTATATGTGGAACCTTAAAAAATGAGACACATGAACCTATTTACAAAACAGAACCAGACTCAGACATAGAAAGCAAACCTGTGGTTACCAAAGGGGAATGGGGAGGCAGAAAGAATTAGGAGTTTGGGATTAGGGGATACACACTACTATATATAAAAATAGGTAAACAACAAGGACCTACTGTATAACACAGGGAACTACCTTCAATATCTTGTAATAACCTATAATGATAAAGAATGTATATATATGTATAATGAATCACTGTGCCTACACTAGAAACTAACACAATATTATACTTCAAATTTTAAAAACTCAGTTAACCATAAATGCCAGGATTTGTCTCGGGACTTTCAACTGTGTTGATCTGTGTATCTGTCCCTGTACCAGTACCCCTTTTAGGTTTCAGAGCCATTAATTTCACTGCAGTTACTTCTGGGATGACAAACAAATTAACTCCTTTTACAGCATTTTGATGTTGAGTTCTTCCTCTTTCAAAAGCCCTTGTAATTTCTCCTACTTAAGTTAGAGATTTAAGAAACATTAGTATGTAAATGTGTCCTTTCTTCAGGGAGTCTTAACGCACAAACTATTGACTGATTTCTCTGGATTCATTAAAGTTTATTGTGGAAATACGTGTTTAACAAGTAGTAAAAAGAAGTGTTTATTCAATAAACTATAGTGACCTCTATGTATAGAGTTAAATAACTAGAGATTTCCAAGATGTGCACGAGATTTCCAAAATGTGCACAGGCTTGGTGTGGTTTGTAGAAATTTCTAGAGAGATTTCTTCCTTCTGTACGTGCATGGTTTTGACGTTACTGTGTTCTGTTTGTTTTAAAATAGATTTATTTAGTTGAAGGTATTTCAGGAAATGTTTTTGTTTTGAGTTCATATTGATTTCATTAAGGAATGTACCTTTGATTTTTAAAAACAAAGAGAAAGGCTTTTAGAAGGTGACAGTAAGAAAGAGATACTATTGTGAAAATATTATTTTCATTTTTAAGGTGTTAGCAAATCTTTGGGAGTTTTTTTTTTTTTTGGAATAACCAAGTTATGGCATTTTTGTACCTTGCAAAAATGAGAAGAACAAATACTGCATTGGCCCAATCACAACTCAGATCATTCCAACTGCAATTTTCAACTCACACCATCCACAAAGCAGAACAAATTTGAAGCGTTCAATATTTAGCAAATGGTGATAACCTTGCAATAATCATATATTGTAGATATCAAGACCTCTCTGTTTAGAGCAGATAGCAGATCATATGGGGGAAAAGAGCAAAGATAAATATCATGTAACTGAAAGGTTATGACCTTCTGCCTTTAAGAAATAATTTAATCTTCCCCCTCAAAAAAAGAAAAGAAAAAAAACTGGAGCAAAGACTAGCCAGATGAAGGTGTAATACAGGAAAAAGGCATTCTTAACCCTTAAGAACGTTGATTTTCCCTAGACTGACAGCCAGATGCGTTTTGGAGTTATATGCCACCTTCTGTAAACAATGGAACCAGCACAGCAACTACAAAAGCAAAATAGGAAAGACGGAAGTCCTACAAGGAGATATTCCTGCTGTCATCTCATAAGGATATTTGACAGAAATGTCTAACTTAATATTTTACGAAAACTTTTGATTCCTGTAAAAAAAAATATATCTTTTTTTCAAGTAATCAGAACACACCTTGCAGAATAGCTCTGCAAAACAGCAGGGTAGCAGAAAAAACTCAGCTGTAGTTGGA